TTGTAGACGTTACGCATCTATCAAACCATTTTATTTGTTAAAAGACCCGAGCAATCAAAATGACGTTGAAATAATCAGGAAGGATGCATCATAAGTTCATGAATCGCAACTGTCACCGTTTCGTTGTAATGCATATCTATCTTGCAGTCCTATTCAGTTGTTCAGTTTGTTCATGATGTCCGTTTATTCTAGACAGTTCAGTAAGTAGTATTTTTGAAATTAGTTTTCCATCAAAACCATTAATCGAGCATTTGCTTTTTTCTCAGCGCACCAAAATTCTTCCTTACCAGTCTAATTCTGCCGTCAACTGAACAAATCCGATTAATTTGACCAAATTTGCACAGAAAGTTTTGATTTAATTTCCAGCACTGTATTCACAAAAAGAGACCAATATGTACTAGCTATTTGTAGTTAATTTGTGATAAACTTCTTAGACCAAAATAAAAATTCCAAAACTGTCATCATCCAGGCAAAATACTGCAGTACTAATGACTATGATTAAAGACACGGTAAAATTGAGTATTTGGAGGCCATTATAGAAACTTATCAAAGTCTGTGGCTGTATTGGTGATGCATCTGTACCTTGCTGTTGTTTAAAACTCGAGAATCTTTCTTAACTGCCCAAACATTTTGACTTTTACTTTTTCTGTTTTGTAGTTCGCTTTATGTGACTTTTATTTAAGTGACATTTTACCAACTACCAAAGACAATTGACAGACTTGCTTGCTTAATAGTTAGAATGAAACCGTTGGATATGTACTTTTGTTTACACTTAAACCTAACTCAGTGCTAGTTGATTGATGGAACAACCTTTCCTATAGCATCGATATTTCCTTTTGAGGATGGATTTATTAGCTCGTTATTCTTGCCATTAAGGATAATAGTAAGAACCATGTGAGCAGTAGTTCGAGAAGCGGAAGGAGTGGTAACTGACTTTTTGATACTAAATGATGATCACGGTGAAAATGCAACTCATATCTTGAGAGAATTCGGACTATTTCACCTTAAGTCATCATCCGGTATCAGTAATACCAGTCCACCAAACAACGGCTGCACCACTATATACCTGGGTTTTTATTGTTGTCATTGATGCGATATATCACGTTATCATGGCTGTAGACTTCATGATGGTCTACAAACAACCAATTAATGGCCGATACAAGATTGTCCATCGCCCAGGCAGTTTTCACAGTTTAGAAGCAACAGTGGGTTTTTTAAAAATCTTTTTTGTCAAAATCGTGGTTTGTTACTTAACTGGCTTTCTACTATTCATTGTATCATAAACTTTCTCCATATTACTGAAAGTCTTAAAATACAACTATGCTGTTATGAGTTGGCGCAAAAATTTGTCATGCATACAATCAAGTAGTTATTTGTATCTCAATCTACTTGGCTTCAGAATCGATGTTGATGAAGAAGGGGTGCATAAGTACACTAATATACCCTAATCCTCAAATTGTATTTCACTTTTTGTTTTGCTTCTTCTTTTTCTTTACCTCTTACTCCTGCAACGTTTTACAACATTTTATGGTCCTATTTCTATTTCTTTAGTTCTACTACTTTATGGTTCATTTGTTGTCACTTAAACTGTAACAGAGTATCGTCGTGTCCCATGATGATGACTAAATCTTATTTGGTGAGTGGATGTTCTAAGCTATTATTGACTGGTCAAGTGTTAAGCGTCAAGCTAATTAGCCATGTTTCAAAACAAATTGTTTTGTGAACAGATAGATAAAGTGATATTTGCGTATAACTTCACAATATTTGATGGAAATCGATCTGTTTGATTACATCAAAAAGCCTAATAGTGAATCCACTCTTATTATACCTCCAGCCGACTGCCTTTTTAAGTCGTGAAGAATTAAGGGGTGGGGCGGGGGCGTACAGAAAGAAAAAATTATTAGGTTAATGTCAGATTCAATGCAGCATAAATTACCTGACGCCATTAAATAAAACACTTTTTGTAAACATAATCTGTTGAGTGACCATAGCTGAAAGAGAACTAAAGTCATGCAAATTAGTTGGATGTTGCTAATCTGGCTAAAATGAGAGATACATCTACTAGCTGGGCTTCACAATTGCTTCCATCAACGAGATTTCCATGCGACTCTGATGTAAGCCAGCAATACATACCAACCCGATGATTATCACTACACAGCTTCCGTGAGCTTTATACACTGAATACGCTTACACTGATCATTATGCTCTCAAACAACCTTATAAGAATATAACTTCATCAGCTGTCACGGACAATAAAACAAATGGTGCGACTGACAGTCGTTCATGCATCCTAATATTCGTTGTACGATTAGGCCACTAGTAATTGGTTAGAAATTGTTAAATAAGCTAAATTCATTTTATTCTGCAAAACTTGCCATTCTTCATTTATTCAACGTTGATCTGTCGTGATCCATAAGCAGTCTGGACGTGGTTTAGATTTATTCAGGATTTTTATCACCCCTTCCCACTGCAGTACATTTTGGATTTTATCCTTCACTCGAACTTAAGAAAGTCAACACACAATACTGACAAAACATTTCAAGGATTTACTTGTGATAGTTTTCTTTCTGCTCAGTGCAGAACCGAATTTTAAAGTTTGTGTTGTAAATTTTGGTTGTCCTTATCTGTTGATTAACAGGGGTTAACTGATCAGTTCTCATCAGTGAAACAGCCGGTTTTTACAGATACTGCGTGATAACTGAATGTGAAGTAGAAATTTAGGTCATGGCAAGATTCGAGCCAGCGACCTCCGGATTATCAGCTTGGTGGTGTACCAGTTGACCTACGACAGACAGCTGCTGATCACATTTTAGTTTCACTTCAATCATGTAGACTTTCGCTCGGCTGCCATGTGAATTCGTTATGCGTTACTATCCGTTCATTGAATTCATACTGCCTGCCTAGCCAGGAGTTCCAATTCCCTCTTCTCTAATTTAGGAGAATTGGGTAGGCAGCTATTATAAATACAATGAGTGGATATTAACGCATCATGAATTCATGTGGTAACTGAGCAAAACTCCTGGTGATTGAGTTGAAATTAAAACCCTGCCGTGGCCTAGATTTCCATTTCGTCTTTAGTCATCACCCAGTATCAATGCAATTCTGCCAAGCCACGACCGTCTCAGATAACTAAACTGAGTTCACAGGTGTCTTTATACCGCAAAAGATCAAATCATGATTATATGTTTTGTCTAGGCCAGCAGTGGAATATGGACCCCACGTTACATAAGATGAGTTCTTATCGTAACCCAGAAGCTTAGTGTAAGATGGTACAGTTCTTGAAGCAGTGCAATAAGTGCTGGATTTAATTCTTCATTGAAAAGATAAGAACTTGAGTGAATGTGTATTTTCATTGAATTTCCATCAGTTTCAACCTTGAAATACAATATTACACACTAAGAAACATAAACGTGTTGAGTGGTTATGTGAACTTGACAGTTATCTGTGCATTTTGTTAATTTTGAAATTGAAACTGTGCAGCAGTTTGATTGTCAAGATTTCGAATAATTAGTAGATAATAAAAAGGATTAAAAAGTATAGGGATTATCTGTTATGATTGGATTATGGTTGAGAATTGTGACAAGTAGTAACCACTGATAAGTGTATGTTTCTTAGTGTTAAATATTATATTTAACGATATAGTCAGATTAAGACTTTACCAAAAATATGTATTTGCTCAAATTCTCAACTGCTGTTTCCAGAAGTTTCCTTATACTGAAGTCGTAGCTGAAACACTGACACTTACTTGGATGTATAAATGTTCAGCTGAAGAGCTTTAAGTTGTGCGAAATACGTATTTTGTGTTCCACTGCTAGTCACCATTAAATGTATAATTTATCCTAAAATAATTATTATTATATCCATAATCTGTCACTATGACTTAAAGTGGTTAACAAAATGCATTCACTCCTACCTACTTCGGCCAGCATTGTGTGACGAGGCAGACGGCGACTAGGCTTACATAACACGTGTCTCAGCCAGATATCTCAGTCGATGAAGGTTCATAACCTCGTCAACTGATTTACCTCTTCTCCCTAAAACTCTATACCCGACGTCTGCGTTACTCATGTAGTGACACCACGGAATACGTCCTATACTACGAAGGCAACGGTGGTCAAACACCCGAAGCCAGCCTTCTCATGTCTTCCACCTTCAATGGCTGTTTCACAACCATACAGTAGAACAGACAGGACTGTTGTGCAGTACACGCGACCCTTAATAGACAATCGGATATCACGGCGGCTGTTAGTTATTACACTGAAACTTGTGCGCTACCTATTTGGCGATTTTCATTGAATTCGGACACATGATGAAAGTGATTATCTATTCTGTGTTATACAAGTCCGCATGAATCAGCTGATTTGAACACTTCAGGTTAGCAACCTGAATTTGTTTAGATTTATTGTTAACGAACTCACCTTCGTATGATTAGGAACAAAAATTGTATTCAAAGCATCACTAGGTAAACAATATTATGTCATCAAATAAACAAGTTTGATTCACCACTGGATTCTAATATAGTAGTGTCTTCAATGTACGCCAGTATTAGAGTGTAACCTTATGCAAAAGTAAATCGGTCTACACCTTACGTGAGCAATGACAGTGAAAGAGATTCACAATTAGGTGCCACCTTGATTAGCTGCTTAGAGTAAACTACTTGAGAAAGCATACATTATCAAAATGATTCAATGAATAGATCCATGCCTATATATTTATCTGACAACAAAACGGGGCTATTAGTTACATCGCTGTTGATTAAAAAGGTTTACTTTATCACAGACTTGGACTGTCTTTAACTTCTTCCAAGAATTTAACATTAAATATGTGTAAACTGATAGTTATGTGAATGTACATCACGTAAACTAGTTATTTGATCAACATATTGATGTGAAAAGCTGATGGTTGTTTGCAGAATCTTTTTTGAATATGATATTAAAGAGATATCGGTTTTTATATCCTTCTAGATATTTCAATAAATCATTTAAAACCATTCTCATCATATGGAAAGTGGAAGACACAGATCACCATATTATCGAGATAGTCATCATATATCATCACATGGCTTTTCTGAAGGCGTTGATTCAAATCCAGAGATACATGATCGTCAGAGACCAGCAAGTGTACAAGATTTAGATTATGGAGAAATGTATGACTCTGGTATACAACCACATTCAACCTCTCCTAGACTAAACAATCCATATATTGATCCAGTGATAGGTGGTGGTGGAGGTTCTGGTGTGGGTGGAGGTGCTGATGGAATTGATCATCGGGCAGCTTCATTAGATCGTCGGGAGAGTACTATGGGACATTAAGGGGGAATTTCGATTCTCAAAGCGAACGTTTAACAAGAACCACAATGAATCAACCATCGTATACACTGAAGTCACTTAGTTCAAATCCAGGATTACCAGGTATAGTGGGCTCTTCAAACCCATCGAGTCGTAGAGCGCATTCATATGATATGAATTTAGAGAAACAAGGCTTAGTTGATTATAACAGCCTTCTAGCTGCAGCCGGTGTTGGTGGTGCAAATCCATCAATCTATGGTTATTCAACTAATCCATTACTAGAGTACAGTGGCAATTTAGGCATGCCAACATTCTCCACATTTGCTGGATTAGATTATGGTGCATTACAAAGACCCGCAGTTTACCCAGCCTTGACACCACAAGGACAACCAGGATTACCAACTGGATTAATTGCTCACAATCCAACTACAGATGTTGCTACACTACAAAGAGAATGTGTACGATTACAGCAAGAATTACATGTAACTAGGGAGAAGTTGAACGCTTGCACGATTAGTATACGTACTTTCTGGAGTCCAGAGTTGAAACGAGAAAGAGCAATGCGTAAAGAAGAGAATGCTAAGTACGCTATATTAGCTGATCATTTGCATCAGTTGCAACTGGAAAAGCAAGTAAGTCTATGCCAGTGTATTAAAAGTATATTCTAGTGCATATTTTCATTATGCAACCTATATAATGGTCTAAAAGCTATTGTGTGTATTCAGAAAGTGGTCTTCGTCTTCTAATGGAAGCTATCACTCATTACCAATACAACACATTTATAAAGTTCAGGATAATCAAAGTATCGATGATATTTGATAGAACCAAAGAATGAACAACTTTCAGCCCAGAAGAAGTGTTTTAGATGAAAGAGATGAATCAGTCAGTATATTTATACAGAAGTATTAAACAGAATACTTACAGTTTCAACTACGTATGACTGAAATGATTCAGTGTGTGATGGCTGTATTTGTAGGGTAGGATAAAAGTCTTTGTATAGTTACGGCAAGACGTGAGATCATCCTATGAAATTATTCTCTATTGTTTTTAGTCACTAAGTTGTAGATGTGAACTTATTACATAGATTCAATTCAGTGATACAGAAAACTCATTCTTCTTCATTTTATTCTTTGATTGAGACGTTTGTTGGATAACTCTAGCCAGTGACAAGCAAATCGAATTCTTCACCATGTATTTTTTTTGCATTCATCAGAAGACAGACTGGGAACGTGAAAAAACCAGTGCTCGTTTATCTTTGTGAAACTACAATACAAAGAAGGGATGCCGAAGAGTTCTTAAGTGTCTGAATTTGTGAGAAGGTATTGGTCATCTTGAGGTTACAGATGCAAATTCTTATTCCTTGTGGAAGAACAAGAAGCCTGGACCCGCTATTTTTGTTGTTGATATCTCTCATCGATATAAAATTACATTCAGGTAACTGTGATTTCGCATCGTTTAGGTTGCTAGCTACATTGCAGACATGACTTATGTCATGTGATTAGTATGGATAACTGAGAATATAACCGCAATATTCACAATGGCTTGGTAATCTCTGAACTTTGTTATTTTATCGTAGATGTTTCACCAGGATGCTTGGTGATATCCTCATCACTAAACTTATAAGGAAGTTAAGCATATTCAAGTGTTTCACGAATGTTTAGTTTTTAACTGGACATCTTGTCTCAAAGACTCAAAATTGTGCCACTGAGTGATTCAAACACTGGTTTCAAAATTCAGCAGTCTGAATAACATGTATCTGCTTACTGCTAATTTTTAAGTGCGTTTCCAAATTCACTAGTATCATAAGGATAAAATTACTTAAAAGGTTTGCACCTTTGAGGTGAATAAATAGTTAAGAATTTCTCAAATGAACATTTAGGTGAAATTATGTACTGCATCAGTCAACATCTGGTTGACTCATCACTAGTCGAAGATATAGCTTTGACCTCTGTATCATGTATTACTATTATTATATCATTTGTCCCTTGGGTTCCTAATGGAACATAAGGCTTCAGTAGCACGTCTCCACTCCACTCTGTTCTCTGAAATCCTTTGAACCTGGCTCTACGACAGCCCACAAGCTCTCATTTCCTCCTCGCACGATCTCCTCCATGTCACCCTCACTTCGGACGCCCAACTCCTTGTTTCCCATCTGGGTTCCACTCGAGTACCTGGCCTGGCCCGTGATGTCACCAGTCGGCCTTTCCGGTGTATGCCCAATCCATCTTCACTTCCTTCCAGGGGATATTTGTTCAGCGATAGGTTCTTGGTTGGTTCTTCACCAGGCCAGAGTTCCTTGTTGCTTATTCTTATTATTCTGGCCATCTGAGTTTCAGTAACGAGCCAGCATAGGCAGTTGTTGATGAATGTCTGTAGTTTGTCGGAACTCCCTTTCGTAACGCGCCAAGTCTCTGAACCATCACATAGCAGCACTGACTTGACATTGGTGTTGAGAATCCGTATCTTGTTCCGCATGCTGATTGCAGAAGATCTCCACACTGGTTTCAGGCTAATGAACGCCTATCTTGCCTTTCCGATCCTGGCACAATTTGACATCCTCATCTGTGCCGCCTGTAGTTAAGACAATGCTTCCTAGATAGGTGAAAGAGGTTACTTCCTTTATGTTTTTCACGTTGATGTTGATTCGTGTTTGTTGCTGTTGTTGTTGGTTGGGTATCTTCATCACCTCTGTCTTCTCTACATTCACTTGAAGTCCCATCTTCGTTGCCCTACCTGTTCTGTCAACTTGTTAGTTTTCTCCTGTAGATCTTCAAGTTTGTGTGACACTAGACATAAGTCATCGGCAAAACCTAAATCCTCTAGGTTATTTTCCGTGGTCCAGCGTATCCCCCTCCTCTCGCTCATCACTGTTTGCTGCATGATCCAGTGGACCACAATCAGGAATATCATGGGTGATAGTATGTGGCAGCCTTGTTTTACTCCTGTCTTCACTTCAAAAGCATCACTGAGCTTCCCATTGTGAATTACTTGGCATGTGGCGTCTTCAGATAGTTGTTGAATGAGGTTCATGAAGGTTTGTGGTATCCTCTGTATCATTTAATCACCAATATTCACTTTTGACGTAGACCATTATTTAGAAGTGACTCTGAAGGCCACCCTAGCAGCCACAGAAATAACCAATTATTTTTTGCGATTTTGGTAAGAAGGTCAGTTTTATATAAAATAAATTAACCTGATTGGCCATTTCAGTAGTTGCCTAAATGGCTTTTAAAGTTATTCTCATGTAGATGGTATTGACTTTGACTTCACCAATATCAGGTCCAGATGAAACTAGTTTTTGGTTTGTTGTTGTAATATTTCTAACTGTCAAGTTTTAGTTCATGGATATCCTTTGCTTGTAGCTAAATAAATCATCTATCACTGCTTATTACATACTGTTTTGGCTAAGTAAAGCTCATAAGAAGCTGTCTTAATTGATAGTTATTTCGTTATCGTCTTCAGTCAGCTGCTAGATAAATATGTCAAACTCACTATTTCCCCCTTAATAACCACTGAACTCTTCAGATGGATGTGACTGATGTACCTCAAGTCGCTCGAACTACATAAACACAGCTGTCTTGTGTACCAGATGATGGATTAGTAATTGTCTTCTTTAAATTTACTATTCACCATAAAGTAACTGAAATCTGGAAGTGATCGATATAACTTAGTCAGAGCTAGGAACCAGACAGCATGGAATAAGTTAGTCTGTGGTGACCAGCCATTGTACATCATCCTGTTGTACATGACGTCAGTCGCAGACATAATAGTTTATTGTTAGCATCTGTAACTTCAGTAATGGGTACTACCAACTTGAATCTTTGACAGGACATTAGTTATTTCAATGCTGAAGGTACATCTCACTGAAGATTATCAGTAAGAGTGATACGTAGGTCAATAGCTTCTTGTAGATTATCTCCTAACACCTAATAAGTGTGGAAAAGTAAGAAGAAAAAACCTTTTATTCTTCTTTATCTTCTTGGTAATAAACGTAGGACTAAAGGATTGAAAATTAGTTAGTCAGATCATTTCCTTTGTTGAAGTTTCAACTACTATAACCAATCCATACATGATTTCTGAAAATGTCCCTCATTAAATACATGTCTATAAACTCCATGTAGATGAGCATAAATGTTTGATGACAACTATGACTTTTACGATCATTCAAGTCAGATATAAGGATAGATACTTAAGGTTGTTGTTCTCATAAACATCAAATTTTATTGTGCTTCAAGTGAAGTTCAAAGATACAAACAGTTGAATTTCAGCTACTCATCTTGACAATAATGTGTCTAGTGTTATTGCTTGTATTACACCGTTGTTGATTCGACCGAATTGATCAGTCTCTGTTGCAATATGGGCTCCTATGCGGATGCCTCGATATTGCCTGTCTTTTAACTATGTTTAGTAATGATGGACAGTGGCTAGCAGTGGAATCCAGGATGCGCATTTTGTCCTATTTGGGACTCGTCAGCTGGAGTGTTATTGCTTGTAAATACCCTATATACCCTATACCCGTCGCACAAGAAGCGGCTGCCATGGCTCGGTGGTGTCGTGGATAACGCATTGGTGTTTGAAGCGATCATTTCGAGTCCGAGTCCCGGTGGGAACAACATCACTCACTAGGAAGCAGGTACATCCAGCTGACGAGTCCCAAATAGGACGAAACAAGCATCCTGGATTCCACTGCCCATTATTACTGAATAATGTGTCTAGTGTGCAATGAAATCGTTGACTTAACTGAATAAACACAGTTGGATAGATCTGATTTTAAATGTTCACCTACAAGTGTAAATACCTTCTGAGTATATGTAATGTTATTTCAATAGGCATCTAACTCTAAAATTATTCAATATCATGCAGAATTTTACTTAGAATTAAATAATCACTTAAAATTTTATTATTATCCTCTTGCACAAAGATAATCCTTTTAAATGATGGTTACTTCAAACAGATTAATCAACATTCAGTCTATGGTGATATCACAACACTCAACCAGAAAGACTGGTTCATTTTAAAATTTAATCTAATATGAGAGAAAAACTGAATGATTTTTATGCACATAGACAGTGTTTCACAAAAATACCCTTTTTTAAAAAACTCCAAATGAAAACTTTCCACCTAAATTGTTCCTTTAATTTGCGGTATAATATAAAATAGTCCTAATGCTAATTAAAATATTATTATACTCTTAGTGATTTTGTCTTGATTATGATGATGACTAACTTGATAGTGAAACGTTGACAAACTTAAATCTTCGCTAACTGAGTAATTCAAGCAAAAAATCATATCCTAAACTATAATTACACAATGTCATGCCGAGTTTATTTCTGATGTACTTTGAGGTACACCATGTGAATGAATATACCCACGTATTCATGTTTCTTCATCTCCTCATGTGTATACCTATTTACACTTTAAAATTATTGTAGAACAAAGAGTCGGTAGAGAGTGGAGGGAGGAAGCAGTAAAGCTCTCACCTGTAGATGGGATAAAGTGCTTACTGAGAAATGGGTTAGAAACTAAAACAACACTAGTAGATACTTCTCTGTTTGTTTTGATAATAGTTTCTGTCCCAAAAAGAGATCAGTTGATTAGTTATTCAATTTAGAATAGTACTAAACAACCTTCTTACTTTACATGAACACAGACTGGCCAATTAATCCCGTTTAAATCTTGAATTATTAGGATTTCAGAGTATATCAACCTTATGCTGACGAAATGACATCAGTTAGGGAGACACCGAAAACCTGTGAGCAATGGACAGCTGCTTCGTCCCAGTATGGGACTCCTCATCAGTACGCATCCATGACCCACCTATCGATCGAACTCAAGACCTTGAGGTTTCAACATGAACTTGCTAGCCATTTAGCCACTGGGTAGGAGTTCGATCCCTAGCCGGGTCGTAGGTCGTGGCCTCTGATGAATACTACCTCAAAAAAGTATTCAAAGGAACAGTTAACTGGAAGGAATCAGATGTCATTATGTAGTAGTATGTCTCTCCTTAGGATATCTTTTATACCATAAAACTCCTTCTTTTTATTAAACACTGAAGAGATACTGAACGGCAGTCATATTAGACTCCTTGATAAAGAGATTGTGATGAACGTAAAGAGCTATAAATTTAACTTATCCTAAGTGTGGCAAAATAAAGTTGACATGTGTATAGAGTGTTTAAAAGTACGGTGTGAAAGAGATTATTTTACAGTGGTAAGTCCATTTGATCGTAAACTGCTCTGAAACTTACGATCTTTTTAAATGTATATTGCAGAATGTACAGCTTTCTCTCTGAATTGACGAATAGATAACTATTTCTACTGTAAACATCTCTTTAAATTTTCTATGACTAAATAAGGATATTTCATAACGCACTGGTACTTAAAAATGAATGTTTATTTTCATTTAGTTGCAAATTTTGCCAAGGGAAACCTAAAATATGAGAAGCCATCAATGTATTCTACAATGAGATATTGTTTCCATGGATACATCTCTCTAGGGCAATAATATCATAGTGATGTATATTACTACTCTGTCGCTATCACAGCCTGAAAATCTAATGTAAATTAGTTGTTCGAAGATAACATCTCTCTCAAAATCTAAACCAGTTTTATTCATTACTAACCTAATTGCCTACTTGGATAACTTCCCCACCTAGAGAGTGGAATAGTTAGTCATGAAAAAAATCAAAGTTGAATACATTATGTCAAGCGCTTCTCAATAAAAATCTTTCATTCTAAATCATTCACTTTTCTGTGGTCACGGTCACAACAGGTGCAACCACTGAACAGGCAGTTTTTCTGAGGTGTGCAGTCAATGAAATGCTAAAAACGCAGCGTAACTTTCAATTCACTGAAAGTATTGGAGAGTTTACGGAATTAGGTATGAGAAGAATGGTAGGATAAGAAAATTTTAGCCATTGTAGATCAATTGTCATGACAATGTTAACACTATGCAAAGTAGCCACAGCTTCCATGCTCATTATTTGTTAATTTAATTCCTTGATGACATATTTAAGAAAATCCCAGAATATGAAAACGGAACAGTGAGATGTCTTAAAAACTAAAATTCAGGATACTCTGGAAGCTGAACAAGATGTTCAGACTTGAAACACTAGTTGCAGTGAAATCAAAGTTATGTATGCTGTGGCGTAAAAAAGAGAACATATATAAACATGGATCGCACGTACTTGGCTTAGTTTTTTTTCTAAAGTGTGTGTTTTTTTGTTTAACATTGGATATTTCGAATATCGACGAAAAAAGTCTCATCAATATAAAATTAGATTACAGGTAATATCGAGGTATCCGCATACAAGCCCATATGTCCATAAAGAAGGATCAGTTCAGTCCAGTCAGCAGTGGGATAATATAGGTAACAATATACAGGGAAAAAAGTCTCCCCTAAATCTACAAGTACACCTTTCTGACGAGTTCCAAGAATGACGAAACTTGTGATTAGAGTTTCTTCTTGATAGTGTATACAGCTTTGCTTTGAAGTAATAAACCACTTTACTAACTAGTAACAATGTAATCCAAACTTGATAAAATATGATTTGCCTTCATTATTCTTTTAACAGTCAATTCGAGCATAATTTGACGCTCAATTCATAAACGTTATATTCAGTTGAGAGTGAAAAAAAATACATCGGAAGTTAAAGGTGTTTACAACAATACTTGAAACTGTTCCCATAATATGAACACTTATCATCGTTATAAAACGCGCCAGATTAAGATTAATAGCGGAAGAACTTCGGTTACTTCTGATTTGAAAGATTTTATTTGAGTAAAATCTCTACTGATGTCAATAAAACACAAAACTTTCTAACTACTGACATTCGTACAGAAATAGTGACCGTTGCACTGATTCTTTTATGCTTATGATTCATTTCCAATGGTTAAAATGAAAGTAACGAAAATCTTAGCGAACATTTTTGGAGTCCTCGTTAAAAGCAAGCTGCTGAGGAGTTCCGAAATAAGGTGAAACAACTGTCTAGTGCTCCCAGTGTCTCAATGGTTCTCTTGCTGAATACGTAATGGGCATTTTTGAAAGCAACAATTCATTAAAAACCAGTTGGATGATAATGAATATCTTGCTCTATAATGGCTTGCATTGAGACTTGTCTGACAAGTGTTTGTTATGTTCTTGACCAAACTATGAAGCAACTGTTACTGGTGGTAACGAGTTAGAATTTTCGTCTTGGTCCTATAGTTAACGGCGAACGGAATTATAGGATACTAGTTTTGTCTTCTATTATTGCACCGGTCGCTAAGCCCGAATTATACCCCACTACCAGTAACATCACTCTACCTGGTTAGCCCAACGAGCTTGTAGCTAATGATCGGTCGTATGAGGGCACAAGAACAACGAACCAATGGGCATTGAGTAGTGTAAACCTTTTAATTACAACTTACTTACTACCTGTTCATGTGTTCGTCTCGACAACTTTGAGGCCTGAGTTCGGTCAAGCATAGATTTTTGGGTGCACACAGCTAAAGTGTTCGAAACTAGAAAGAAAACGTTGACCACTCATCCAAGTTTTATAACTATCCTCTAGCTGATGTCAATTTGTGGTAAAAGTTACCCTGAAATTTATCGTCTCTTTGCAAGGCAATGGGGTAAATAAGAAAACTATTTGTTAACAGAAGCCTTTCCGTTGAAATAAGCTTTCGAATGATTACTACTCGTCAAAGAATAGCCCCTCTCAGTTTTGTTGACTGTGTTCACGGGTTTCTACGTCATTAAAACAGGACTGTACGGTTAATAAGCTTACTCCAAAGTATTGTGTAAATTGTTAGGAGGCTCTAATGTTTGTGATTTTGAGATATTTCTTGTGAATTACCGCCAATGACCACAAGACCTAAGTCCTTGACTTCTTGTTGGTTGCTTTCAACCACAGAATCTCCACTTGAAGTGGATTTCAGGCTTTTAATGTCTCATAATTAGGATGCATCTACAACTCCTTAAATCTTTTATCTCCTAAGACCTAAAGTACACATCATTCAGTACTACAACTAAAGACCATGCTATTAGTCTATTCTGGAACCTATTGACATTTTGTTAAGTTTCTCCACAAGGTTAAATCAGTGGCAATATTTATGATTGTAGGGCCGAGCGATATCAACTTCAACTGTAAAGTCCGATCTATTCGCTGAAGACTTGTGAATACAACATGCTGAATAATGCCAAGATTTCGACAAATGGAATTTCTCTTGAAGTTCATCCAGATTCCCTCACATCTTCTAAGGTCGAACAGAATAAAGAGATCCATGTGTCAGTTAAAAATAACCTGCACAGTCTACATTATGTTGATACAGTTACTAGCTAAATTCAGTTTCGATACGTGATTGAATGCTATCGAAGATAAATGACTAATCGCTTATCAGTCAGTGGAATAACAACAGGATTAAGCTTTTGGCGATCAAAGTGGAACTAAAACATGATCAACAGTTGCACTAAGTGGCTCATTCGTTAGTTATCTAAAGTGACACACCGCTAACCTGTAAGATATTTGCCCGAATCCAGCTGCGATTTCGTCATATACCCTATGTATGTAGAATAATGTAGTAGTCTCGGAAATTATTCATTATTTACCTGATAAAATTGTACTGGACAGTATTTTAATTTACTGTTCATATTAGATTATTTTTACCGATAAACACAACTTTTTATTCTTTCTCCTCCTCCTTTACGAAACAGACAATGCTGGAAACGCTGCATAATATGGAGTCAGATCTACGTCAGGAACGCGATAAACGTAATCGAAGTCGTTTTGCAGGCACTGGCGACTCTGATGGCTTAAATGAACTAGACTTAGCTAAACGTCAAATAGATGAACTGACACTAGAGAATCGTCAGCTTAAAAAGTCCATGGAAGATGCTGATAGACGTACTGCGAACCTAAAGGCTAGTTTGAATGCTACAGAAGACAGTCTACGTCGACTAGTTGATGCTGTAAAAGCAGGTAAATCTTCAAGTGTCAGTGGTGAGACTGGGACAGCTGCAACTGTAACTGGAGGTGGAGATAGTTTAGCACAAACTGGAGATCAAACTTCCATACCTACCATTAATTTAGATCGCATTGAAGCAGATAGAATAGAGATCTCTCGTTTAAGAAATCAGCTGAATGAGGCTACCTCTAGAAGAAGTGAAGCAGAACGTCAGTTGTTGGAAAGAAATTTTGAACTATCTCGATTAAAAGAGGTAAGTTCAATGAATCAATGATGTATCTCATTTGCAAATGATGTTTGAGAAATTGTGACTGTGTTTTAGATGAATGTTTGCACCAACCAGAAGTTTTTGATGATATTCCATCCAACGACATACTAGTCATCCACTTGTTGCTTTTTTGGGACTTATTGATCTAAATAGTTTTCGGTGGTTGTCCACCTGATGACTTTCTTGCAATTAGGGTTCTTAGAGTGCTTATAAAAAATTGTGATATGCATCATTAGTTGAGTTAGGAATGAGATGAATTACAGTGGATGATAGTTACACTATGTGACAGATCTACAGAAGTAAGCTTTGGTGTATCATCAGATACAAATTACTGTTTAAATAGTAGTGCTCCTCCTGAATCCCAATGGTCCTGCGGCTGACCACTTATTAAGTTGTAGATGAGTGCTGCTGTGAGTCCCAGACTAGAACGAAACGGATGGTTTAACAATTATCTGGTTGACATCATTTCCCGGTGATGGTCGACTTCTTGAAGTATGCAAACTGGAAACTATTGCCTGATATTTAATGAAGTAACTCACTGGCTGCATGTATAGAGAATTTTCTTTCGGTGGCGCTGAATATTTGTAGTTCAGAAGAATGATTTCGATGGTGTTGCGTTCTCTGGTCTTAATGGTATAAATTCCAATCTTTCATTGTCATTTTAGTCAGCATCCTCAGTACAAACTTCAGAAAGAAGTGAGCTATGATATTTTCTCTACAAGTAGCTTAGGAGCTTATTGAGAAAATCCGATAATTCACTTCTTCCTGAAGTTTACACAAATGATCTTATCTAGAGTGACAATGGAAGCTTCATGGTTAAACTATGCAGGTCAAAGGACACAGCACCATCAGAATTTTCATAGGCATAACTGTCATTCGAAGCCTGAACTACAGGTAAGTAAATTGCAATCAAAAAGCATTGTGCTACTTATGAGTAAGTAGACTAGACCCCCATAAATAATCACTGTCAATAGATAGGCCAAACATTCTCCTTTGTTGGTATTCTTCCCGTCACCCAGTTTCAAAGTAATCTCAGTAGGATGAAAATCGTTATTGAAATGTTATCTTTTATTGTATTATTTTCTGGCTTTCATTACACATACTTCAGTAGTTAAAGTCCTTAAAGTCTTCTAAGTCGTCGAACAACACAGAAAGTGGTTATTCTTGATCAAGACACTGCTTGATTATATCAAATCAAATACTTTGTCTCAAATGTACTGCAGTAGATAAACCACAGAATATATTAATCTCAAAGTATGTGTGAGTGAGAGAGGAGATTGGTTCAATAGACTACCATTGCTGAATGAATAACAATACTATTCAGTTTCGTTTTGATTCATAAACAGTAGGAACAAAATGTTTCGAATATATAGTTATACAATTACAACAAAAGTTATGCTGTTTGTTTCTGTATTGAAACATACATTGAAGTTCAAATTTAATGAGACAAAGAACGTGATCTCATTGTTAACCTTAATTATCGATGTTACGATGATAAGAAATGTTATGTTACGGCTGTTCCAGTGACACTATATGTTACAATATAATACTCTCATACAAATCATATAATTGATCAAAGTCTAAAAGGGGAAAAAGTCTACTCATCTCCCATTATTATGTAAGAATGTTACTGTCAAAGAAAGTTTTCTATCTGACTTTCTGTAAATTATTTGGTTTTAAAGAAAGTCTTTGAGCTGTCTATCTATCATCAAAATTAAATAGCCCTTGATGTAGATGGATACTGCTATATATATACTTGTCTATCGATTATTCTCATTTTTCAGTGTTACAAACATATCGCAAAGGAGTATGACATACACGTACAATACATATGTCTCACTCATTAAAGCCAGTAATTACTTCTCACAGCTACTCTATACAGTCAGTATGTTTAAATTGGTAGTGATATGGAAATTACGTGTTTCGTTTAAAAAACAGTCAACTAATTTTCTACCTAATCTTGAGGAAAACCATCTGCGTCGCAACTGCAATACATAATTGAAGAGTAATAACTTTTCTGGATAACCTGTACTCCATCTTGACTTCTTCAGAGTCAAAAGAAAGAGTACTTGTAGAGACCAACTTAACAACCAGTGAAATAACCAATTAGTTTTCCTTATTTCTACTGAGAAGGTATTTTTTTCATAAAATAAAAAGACTTACAAGGCTGAATCCAGACAATTTGATGTTATTGGTCTATTTTTAACTCCAAACAAGTGTCTGTCTCTTAGTTCTTGTGCTTCGTGGATACTCACTCTTTAGAGTCTTTTTACAATCAACTTGAGCACATATACTTCTCATGACGTTTAAGACTGTGTGAAATATAAAAGGAATGAAATCCTCTCGTTGTGATAGTGCTCCAATTGCTTCACAGGATATTTAGGAAGGCAGCTAAATGAGTCGATGGAAGGTTACTCTTTCTGCAAAACTGAAGCTCGGTATAAAATTCGGCCTCTATAATTCCACGTTTATTTGTTTCTGGGGTATTTTATTCAGTGAAACAGTACTTAGCAAGATCAGAACGCAGAAAGAGAGAGATCAATAATCAAGAAATTTAATATACATGGACAGGAAAGTGCTACAATCTCTCACAGGAGACAAAGACACTGTAATTCTACCAGTATAGAAAATACAGACGACATATAGAACGGAATACTTCAAGAAGGCAACAGAACTACTCTACTAAGAAAGATCATCGAAAAAATCAGAATCCAACCTAGTCTGAAAGCTGGATAATAAAATAAAGACCAAGCTGGAGAAACATTTCGAAGGATAAACCAACAAGACAGATAAATACATAATGAGATCAAATTGATTCATATTTCCATAGTTCCATAGTAGATCAAATATCCGTAACCTCATTGTCTGATTGTTTCACTTCCAGAAACGCCAACATAAAAATCTTCAGAGTACTTAGTAGAAAAACTGAGCCATCTTACCAATAAGTCAAACAACTGAATCAACTAAGTTCTTAAGAGAGCCCAAGATATTAAAATGTACAAAGATGAAAAGATGATCTTCCTCGACGTTCAAGCATTTTTCACATCAATGGATCACAAGCTTACAAGAGAAAGTACTCTAAGCAGGTTTCAAAATGAAGGTGATCACTAACATATATGAAAAAAAATGATAAGAACCTCAATGTGGTCACTAATCTCAGGGATCATTGCAAAAGCATTCATACAATGACTGAAATTAATAATAGTGTCAATCACCAAACTGAAATTTTGTATGTTATACGTGGTCAACACATTTGTCATCCTAATAAAAATGGTATCGAATCCACTCACAACTTAATCAGTGATATTTTCAAAGGAGTAAAATCTATGGAAAAGTATAAAATAAAAGATAACTACCAGAAATCTGGATTAGAAAAAGTGTTGATGAACACCTTGAAACTCAGGTGTTCAAGGAGACAACTGATATAAACCAGATCCTAAATTAAAACAATAACAATCCAATATCGCACAAGAAAAACTATGTAACGACCCTGTTTGAATGAGTAGACAAACATTCCAGTACAGTAGGACCAAAGAGATTTGAGAAAACGTATTTTTTCGAAATCTTCCAACCGAATGTTCATCCAAAAAATATCACCAAGAGATGTTTTTCAAAAAGAACAAGATCGAAATCTATCATGGAAACTAGTTATCCTGTCATATGTTAGGAAAAGGCAGCCAAATTGCTGAATTCTCTTGGAATCGCAGTGTCACATTAACCAACAGAATCGATACAACATATGCTGTACAAACCGGAAGACTCAACCAAAAGAGAAGAAATGATTAACCTTATCCATAAGACCAGCAGTAATAATCGAGAACAGCATTAAGTTGAACAGGCGGGTGAACCAGTATTACAACATCTGAATGAACTAACTGTTAAGCTGACTGTTGAGCATCGTGACATGAAGTCTCTCAGTCTAACATGCTTTTACAACCACAACTGGAATAACTTCAAAATACTGGAATATGCACACTTGTAAACAATCTGAGACTTCTTGCAGGCACTCAAACAAATAAACAATAAATCCCCACATTTACATGGATTTTATACGCAAACCTTTTCGAAACAAATCAGTCACAGGAATCAACCAATACAAATGCAAGGAAACACTCGATGCAAACAAAACAAGGGTTATCGATCAACTGGATCAAGGCAACACATGCACATATTACCAAACTTCTGTACTTAATCAATCAGTGTAAAAGCAATCTCCTTCTCCAGTAGAATCTAACCAACTACATCCACCAACAAAGAACACCTTTCTAGTTGGAGGAAATCAACCAGTCAACGTAAAGCATAATTCTTACAAAATGTATGAGCCAACCACAGAGCTTAAGATGACCTTCACTACATCAGTCAGACGGAATTTGACAAAACAGGCAACTAAGTATCAGTCGAGTTTGCCTCATCTCACACAAGTAGTTACTTGAGAAGTCACGTAGAAAATATACCATGACAGAGAATTACGGATATCGGCAGTTATGAGAGAAACTGTGATATAACAGAAACGTTCATCGCGTCCCTATTGTAACTGAAAAACGTAAGGTTCGCGTGGAGATAGGGATGTGTGTGTTTGTGTGTACTAGTGCAATCTCGCCTAAGTCATATAGTCAGCATGGAAGATATGGACAATCTGGTTCTAATACAGGAAAATATTGTGATGAGTAAAGGCCCATACAGCTAAAGTGACTGTCTCGCTAGAGACGCCTTTCGCTACGATACCGTTAACTCATATTGTAAACAGAGACACAATAAACTATAATTAAGTAAATGAATAAGAGGAAACTTGACTTAATAAACACTTTTAATCTTTTTTATATAATCAAATAACTGAAAGCCGAAAGACACCATTTATAATAAGGTCAACTGATTGTCTGTAAGTACGTACGTAAACTAAAATAACCTGGTCTTAAAGTTGTCTAGGATAGTTTTAATTTATCAATTCATCGTTCTATCTGAATTTAACATGGTCAGCATTCAAA